TGTTTATGAATTCGTCAACAGCAGTGCCTGCCAAAGTGCAAGAGGTGACAAAGCCCTTTGCATCCTCCCTGAAAGTCATACGAATTAGCTAAGGTTGACAAACAAACTTCGCAGGAATAGCTTCACTCCTCCAAATGGTGAACGTTGGATCTGGAACTGCTATGGGGGATGGTGCTTCTGGTAGGAATTCAAATGTGGGATTAAGGAATATGCTCAGAAGTGCTATTTGACACTTGTCAAGTCAATGCCAAGGCTTATTGTTTCAAGTTAAACACATAAATGATCCTCGTCTTGAAAACCACCTAATCTCGGTCGGAACTTTGTGCTCGGCTGTGAGTTCCAAGGATGTTGGAGGTAAATGGATGCAAACGAATAACGACTAGCACCTACTGCCGGCAGAACACCATTGGGATGGTCAATAGTGCACCTCTGTCGGCCTGGTGAAGGACAGAAACAGAAATTTCGAGAGCAAATGACAGTTAAACATTGCCGGTTTGGATGCATTAGCCAATTTCAAATCAAAGCCACAGTTGATCTGCAGGCGGTCCTGGGAACAGCTATTTTTAAGAACGAATTGGTGAAAATAATCTGAGCATAAAATGTCGTTTATTTACAAATCTTCGAGCATTTGTCAGAACCAATGCTACATCTGAGTGGAAGGGAGGGCAGAAGACAGCTTCGGCATATGGCTCCCAGGCACCGTGGAGTTGTTCGCAGTTGTGGCATTGCTGTAGTGCTGAATGACGGCAGCCTCAGCACGCTCTTTGACCAAAGCCTCCACATGTTCACGAGTTAGGAGAGCGAGACCCAACTGGTCCTTTTTTCGGAAGGGATGACTACCCATGAGGCGCAAGAAGCGTCGACACGCCTGAGCTGCCTCCTCCGTCGAGAGATTTACGTAAGCATCACTCAACTGTGCCTGAATCCAACTTGGTAATTTGCAGCGCTTGTCTGATCGCGCGTACCGCTGTAGAAGGATGAATAACCATTAGGATACATAAATCCTCAGCCTCAGCGAGCCAAAAAAGTAAACCTTCATTACGATTTGACGATCTGAAAGTGTGATTAGTCGATGCCGAAGCGTGCGTACTTCATATGCTAGACAGTGTTGTGAATGTTTCAAAGATCTTTGAAAGTTATGTATACTGAAGTAGAACCGATCCAGAGTGAGGTA